TCTTAAGCCTTGATTTATCATAATGCATGTTTAATTTATGATTTTATATACATTAGGAGGAAGAAACTCTTTCTCAGAGAAGGGTGCTCCAAAAAAGAAGTCAAATAAATTATGCTGAATCAGACGCAGAAATGAATTCAGATTCAGATTATGTTATAAAAGGAAAATTTAAAAAAGAGGGTGAAGAGGGTTAGTATAACGTTGTATTATGGTATAAATCATCTATTTTAAATATTATTTTTTTTAAAACCTATTAAGCAAGAAAAAGTGAGCCATGTTAATATTTCAGAAGAAACATCAAAGCCTTTTCAGAAACAACAAACCATAACATCATTAGGCATAGAAGATATTATTACTTTGCGTTAATGTCCATTAATTCGATTAGCAGATCAAGCTTCGAATCTAACACCAAACAAACCCATTTTAACGAGAATGATGTATGATGAATATTTCCCATACTTAATTTGCGCGTTCAATAACACAATAAATTACCTTAAGAAAATAACTGAAAATAAAACCTTTATGGAAATAAAAAAGATACTGCAAATGAATGACCAACTAATCTTGCAGAAATCTTTTATTAGAAAGCTGAAAGTGATTTTTGAAACTGATTACAGCAAAATTGAATCAAAAATCATTGAAGAGACAACAATTAAAGATAGTGATCAGACAGAGGATGCAAGATTTAACTTTTTTATTTGGAATACATTGCTAAATTTTGCTGCAAATTTTAGGTATAAGATTCTGAAAGTTTTGGACTGTGATATGTCTGAGCGAACCTTTATTATTGAATGTTTATCTCCAATTTTTTGTGCATTACAAAATGCGTTTTCAGATATCAAATATGGATGGATTGAGAAAGATGTTACCTCAATAAAAGTAGCCAATAATATGTTTGAATATGATATTAGTTCACGAAAAGTAGACTTACTTATTTAACGTTTATCAGACAATATGAAAGTGATGAACACTGAAGTTTCAGGATCACCATTCAAAACTGCACAACCACACGCAGTTGGAGACATAAAAAAATTGTTGATGATGTCTCTGCTAATTGTTTCGCAGTAATCTAGATTAAAATTAGATCATGCTTCTATTAGTTGAAAGTTATCATATGACATAGCATATATCACAATTTATAGTAAAACTCACAATTTATTTTCACATATATTTTTTTACATACCGTATTTCTCCGAAATAAGCAACCCCAAAAATAAGCAATTCTTAAAATAAATAATACTTGAAAATAAGCAACATATTGAATATTTAATTAGTTTCGTATTAAAACTATATGTAATGTAATAAGAACATTTTAAATAATAAAATAAAGCTCAAATAAACCAAAAAAAAGTATTTTATTAATGAATTTTTATCGCAAAATTTTAACAACTTTGCTGTGATCAATATCATAGCTATTATTATTATTACTACAATCATCACTACCAGTGTTATCATCACTATCATAATCTATCAACGCTATTTACATCATCATTGCTAATTTCTAATTCAAAAACTGATTTGTTTAAATTGGTTAAATTTTACAAATCTTGAAAGATTTTATGATTGTTTTATTATGGGTTGCTTTCCAAGCAAACTTTACCAACAAGCATACATCACTCAATTTAGCAAGGTGAAGATTTCTCGTGGTAGTTTCTAGCATTTTTTATTTGTGCAATTAATGTAGTAATTAGCATAAAATAAGTTTATAAATCAGTTTACAATTTACATAATGTATATTAAATGATCAGTGATTACATTAGAGTTATAACATGAAAAATCAAACTTTTAACTATACAGTACATTAAAAAAATTTAACTATCTGAAAATAAGCAACATTATAACAAATTACATTGCTTATTTTTGGAGGAATACGGTATATTCTTCTATAATATAATAATAACCGATCATAAATAAAAAGAAAAAATTATTTCTTACTAATTGTTTATTTATTATGCTATATAAAATGATAAGTAAAATGTATTACATATAACAAATATAATTAATCTATAGATCCTACTTCTATTAGTTGATAGTGAGAAGAATCTTCACAATTATCATATAATATAGTATGCTTAGAGTTCCGGACGAGTCGAGTTAACTCACAAGTCAGATAAGCCGAGTCGAGTTCAAATCAAGTCGAGTTGGTGTTTTTTTTGACTCAATGATTTGCGAGTCAAGCCA